CCACCTTAGGTGTATGTGGCTGGCGCCTTAGCCGGTTGAGCTATAGGTGCCGAGCCTGGCCTGGAGACTTCTGTGAGCCCAGTAGCCACACCAGATCAAATGCTTTCATTAGCAGAACCTTTTTGACATACAACACCCTCTTTGGGAACCTCCAAAGAATCCACACTGAACTCTGGATTAGGTGGGAAGGGTGAAGGGTACCCTCTTGGGACTCTGTCTTTACCCACCCAAAAAAGGAGAGAAGACCCAGGCTTGGGAGGCATCCAAGATAAGGCTTGGTCCTGTTTCCCCTTTGTTCTTAGCCACTCCTGAGAACAACTGCTGAATCCTGAATGTCCCTAACCCCGTGGGCTCTGAGCCTCTGGCTGTCTGTTGGTGCCCCACAGAGCGGATTCACAGGATGCCTTGCTCCAGCACAGCACTTTTCTGGCTTCTTAAAGCAAAGGAAGGCCCAGGTTGTGTCCCCTGTAGTGCCACTATGGCCCTGCTGGCTCATCAGCAGGGGATTTGGGGATGGGGTGCAGAGCCAAGGAGCAGGCAGATAAAGAGGGATGTTGAGGGTGGGGTGGGGGAATCTCAGCCAGGAGCCCCCATACTCACCTCTGCTCTCTGCCTCTTGCAGCAGGGGGTGGAATAAGGAGTGGGTAGGATGGGCGTGATTTGGGGCCCTTCTGCCCCTGGCTCAGGGTGCTAGTTGCAGCTTAGGCCCCTGGAAGGTTTGGTGCAGGTAGCCCAGGAAACGAATGGCCAGGTGGACCCAGAGGAACAGCTGTAGCCACAGCTGGAAGGTGATCTCTGAGTGCCCACCCTGGAGGCTGCCTGACCCCTGATCCATCCCAGGCTGCCTTGGACTCTCCCTGGAATCTTCTCTTTGCTGGGGAACCAGGAAAATCGCAGAGCCTCTAAGCCAGCTTCCTTGGAAAGGCCTCAGGGGACCAGGGAGGAGGAGCTGGTTGCTACAGAAGCATTTAAAGGTACCTGCTCCCGGCTGGCCAAGGTCTGCAGAGGCCCTCCTTGACAGGAGGTGGTGGGAAGATTCTCCCAAGGGTGCCCTCTGGCTGTCCCATGTGTCCTGAGGCAGGGCAATGAAGCTAACTTTCCTTTCCAGGGACTTCACTGCTCCCAGGATGCCAGGCCCTGCCTGCCTCAGTGGGTGGTGAACTGTCCCGAGGATGGCACCAAATGTGCCCCATGCAGTGCCCACTGGGCAGAAGGGAAGGAGTTAAGGCCTAGACTCAGGCAATAGCTAGAGACTCCCTGGGGGCTAAACAGGCCCCAGAGCTCTCTTAATTAGCTGAAAGAACAGCTGGAGAGTAAGGCTGGGGGTGGGGTCGAGAAGAGCCACCCTATCTCCTCCCCAGAAGTCACTTTCAACATGTAGCCCCCAAATCCTGCTACTCTGAGTGACAAATGGGTACATCTGGCTGTCTGTCTTGCTCCTATGTGGGGGCAGAGAGGGGAATGGCATCCTGCAATGTCCTTGGCCTCTGTCAAACCTTGCCCTCTGTTTGGCTCTGCTCTCGGCCATGAAAGTCCAAACCGGAAACTGGTGGCTAAATGCAGGGATGGGGGAGGGAGAGGCAGCCTTGACTATCTTTTTTCTTTTTTCCAGATTCCAAAAGAAGTGGAGGGCCAGTGGCAACCTCTCTGAGAGTGCCTGGTATCCATGGTCTCTGTTGGCAACAGGACGTGGCAGAAGGGGCAACCCAGCCAGCTGTTGGCCTGTGGAGCCTGCCATCCTGCCCACATTTCCCACACTGGGGGTGCTACCCTCCACTCTGGACCAGATTCCATTTGGTTTCACAGAGAAAACCCCAGACACTCCTTGAAAAGCCAGGGCCACAACAAGGCGGCAGAAATTTAGAAGTTCACCCTGGGAATGGGGGATTTGAACAGCAGAACATCGATTTCGGCAAGGGGTTAGGGGCTCTCTCAGAAGGAGCCCAACCTCAGGAACTCCCTCCCTCAGACAACTATCTTAGGTTCTCTGCCCTCTAAAACCTGGCTGTCCTGGGAATTTAGGGGCAGGAATGCCAGCCTGGGCTGGGACCCCTACCGTGGGCTGCCTAAGTCTTCCAGTCTAGCTTGGATTCCCTGCATTATTCTCCAGTCTTGAGCTAGACCCCATTATAGCCACCTCAAATTCTTGGGCTTAAGCAATTCTCTTGCCTCAGCCTCCCAAGTGGCTGGGACTACAGGTGCCTACCACAACACCTGGCTATTTATATAATGGACCAACCCCCATTTTGAGCTGGATCCTCATTCTGGACTGGATGGTCCTCTGGTCTGATTTGGGCCCTAACATTAGGCTGGTTCACCCACTGCCCCTGTGTGAGTTGGACCCCTACTCTAAGTGGATCATCTCCCCTTGTCTGAACTGGGTCGTTGCCCCATTCCTTGTCACCCCCCCAGCCCAGGTGTGTTAAGTGAAGGATTTCCAGGGTCAGCCACGGGGCCACAAACTCCTTCTCTTCACCTGTCCCCCAAAACCTACTGCAGCCGCTCCCTGACTTCGGGGGTAGAGTGTGCCTGGGAAGTTGCTATAGCAACAGGGCTCAGCCTCACCATCGTTGGAGCTGGAAGCCATCACTCAGTCCTTGCAGGGCACCCGAACTACGGTGGCTGGGGAGGCTCATTAGACCAGCTGTACCAGCCAGCCTGCCCATTCCCAGACCCCTGCCTGTAGGGGGAGCCAGGGAGCTATGGGGCCTGGGCAGGAAGAGAAACCTAACCTAGAGGCCAGCAGTTGCAGGGGAGGGGCACATTGAATGCTTCAAGTTTCCGTTGACCTGCTTGGGATAAGGAAGAAAAGCTGCCATGCCAAGACCATGAGACCCTTTTGGGTACCCATACAACTGCCAAAGCACAAAAGGCATTTGGCTCTCTCAGGGATGTTAGAGGGCAACAGTTTCTTCCCCCTCTATGGACCTCTTTGGGGGCACTTAGATTTCACTGCTGCGATCTGCTTATCTCTGGACTTTAGGGGGCTTCTGAGGGGCTCCTTCTTACCACCTCTGCCTCTTCCCCTGTGGGCCAACTTCTCGGGTACTGTCAGCCAACACCTGAGTCCTACTTGGCTATCTGACGTGGGGGCCTCCTCCAGATGCTGCCCTCTCTCAAGTCTTCCAGCCTAGCCAGAGCCTTGATCTTTTTTCTCTGTTCTCTCAACAGATTCCCCCCACTCCACGTTGGAGCCCATTGTAGATCCATGTCATCTTGGGAAAAGGCAGACTTGTTCTGCCCTGGGGCAGAGATGGCAACATAGGGGGCTGCAAGATGCTTAACTGGTGCCTACTAAGGCTTGGACATTTTTCTGACCCTGTTAGCCTCTAGCAGCTGAAATTCAGGTGCCCCCTGCAGGCTGGCCTGGCTATTGCCCCCACCCTTGCCCCACCCTGGTTACAAGAGGGCATGATTTTGTCCATCCTCCCAGAATCAGAGTGCTTCAAAGCAAAGAGGCACTTCCTTCCTCATCCTATTTCCTTCTCTAGGAACCTCTGTGAGGAAGTACAACTTCGGGCATTTCTCAAGTGTGACATGGTCCCACTGGCAGAACATGAAATAATTTGGAGGATGTTTCCTTTATCTAGTTACATTGTATTTTAATGCATATCAGAGAGAATATAAATGGCATAGCAATTGCATGACTTCATTTATATTATTATGGAATGGGCTCAGAGTTTACATCTCAACAGAAGTTAACATAAAATTCTTATTATTTTAAATTATAAAAAAATGAATAGAGTTAAAAATTCTGGGGGAAGCCTTAAGAATGAATTTCCAGCTGGGGCCTGCTAAACAAACAAACAAAATAAAGAATGTCTGCATTCAGAAATTCTGGGGTCCAGGAAGTTTGCTGGATATGGCTCCTGCCTCTGTGATATCATCTATGTCTAAATCAGAACTTGTTTAGAAAATTTGGATAATAGACTGTTAAAATCACCAGAGCAGATATACCAATTTACCTAACCATTTAGCCTGACACATCTTAGATGCCCAGTAAGTAGTAGCTCAATTATATTGAGATCATTCATTCCTGGGGTACCCAGCTTATGCTCTGAGAGAATTAGTGGTTACTTCCAGAGCCTCTGATCCTTTTCTTAGGATCTTTTTCCCTGCGTAGTTTTCCCTGTCTCACCACATGTGTTTGGTATGTCTTGAAGGATTTCCAGGACTATGTCACCTCCCCAACTTTCAACTGAGCCACTAAAATATATAGCTGCCTGCCTCCACCTCCCAGATGGCCTCACCTGCTGAGAGCCTGACCCCCTCGCCTCTGCCTAGTCCCCTCCAAGCTCATGCCCAGACCTTTTTTGGATACTACCCACCTGCTCCTCTGTCATCAAGCACTCAACTACAAGCACTTGCTTTCCTGTCCTCCACCCATTGGTGACATGTCAGGCCTCTTCATAACTGCTCTGCAACTCTGAGTTCTGCTATTTGAATATGTATTGTAATAAAGTTCCCTGGTTTTCATGCTTTTTTCCATGTCTTTCTGTATAGGTACTCAGGGGACACAGACACTAGGGTTTGAGACCAAGAATATGGCCTTCCTTCTTAATTTTGACTATTTCTTGGTAACAGGAAGGTGATTCCATCTGAGGTCCAGCTTTAGGCTTGGAGTGATGACAATTTAAGATCTGGAAGAATTGGGGAAGGGGTTCAAGACTATTCTGAATGATCAGAATCCATTTGTCCCTTGGCAAAGCAAATCACTAGATGTCACCCATGCACCTTAACTAGCCCTCCTTCCAAGTCCTTTTTCTGACCATCCCAATTCAAGCTGCATGAGCCTTGCTAAACTCAGACACTTTTCATCTCGAGCAAGCAGTGAAAGAAAAATCCCTGGGAATTGGGTGAATGAGCTTCCACTGTGCAACAACCATTTGTTGCGGAGCCCCCCCAAGGAGCCTAGAACTCACTGCATAGCAGGAGATAGGAGGGGGCTCTGCCACCAATACTGCCCCTCCCACCCAACAGCAAGACTATCTCAAACTTGGCTTTGGAAGCACGGAAGCAGTTCTCTGGCTTCACAAACACTCTGCTACCCCAGCCAGGGACAGACGCTTGCTTAAAGGAGTGAGCATAGCAGAGAAGCAGGGTGACAGAGTGACAGGATGAGAGAGGGGCAGAGGGACCCAGAAAGATCCTGTCCCCCATGCCAAGTGACACAAAAGGGAAAAACAATGCTGGAGGTGGCTGAAAGGGAGGGTAGGTTTCAAAGAGGGGGCTGCGATAAGGTGAAGAGAGTAAGGGCAGGAGAAAGATGGCGGGGGCTGAAGGGGGGAGGGGTGTGGTCACCAAGTGGCCAAGAGGCAGACCCCACTGCACTTCCAAAGTGGCAAAAGCCCGGGTCGGGGTCAGGCAGTGGGTCTTATATGTGGCAGAGGCGACTGAGGAAGCGGGGGGATTAGTATGTGGGGAGAGGGGCCAGGAATGGCGGGAGTGGGGTGGTGACATGGGGCCCCAGCGGTCATACGTGCCATGGTCTGTAGTGACAGCTGGGGGGGGCACAGTTGTTGCAATGGTGAGCGGCCGTAGGCAAGGGGGTCCCTATAGGGGATCCTTTGCGGGCCCTCTGGCCCTTTACAGGCAGGGGAAGGGGCGCTAGGAGGTAAGGAGAGAGAAACGGGGGGGCCTCCTAGGGGGAGGGGCCAGAAGGTGATGGACACGGCGGTGGCTGGCAGCGAGGGGCCGGGATCAGGGTCACGGCCCGGGCACTCACCGCTCTCCTGCTCGCTGCCCTTCTTGGCGGCGGCGGCGTTGCCCATCGCGGCGGCGGCGGCCGGGGCCGGTCCCGGAGCTGCGGCGCGGCGGGTGCTGGCGACGGCCCGCGGCCCCGGAGCGCGCTGGGCGGCAGCGGCGGCGGGCCCTGGGGCTGGCTGCGCTAGCTGCGGCGCCGCGACCCCCGCCCAGCCCCTGCTTCCCGCGTCTCTCCGCGCCCGCCCGCCCGGGAACCTCAACCCAAGTCCGCTGCTGCTGTCCGTGACGCCCCCGCAGGCCCTCGCTCATTGGTCCAGGCCTCCCTGACTGACGGTTCTGTGCCACCGCCCATTGGCTCTTCGTGACCTTCCCGCTTTGCCATAGGCTCCCGGTCCCATGACGCGTGCCGCGGATGCCCGGCCACTCACGCACTCGCGAGGCCTCAGTTGGGCGGGCAGATTCCTCAGATTGGTCGAGGTGCCCGACGGGTCCTAGGGCCCGCCCAGTGAGGTCGGCGATTGGTGGAGGCTTGGTGTCCGGCAAGCCCCCAGCCGAACGTTCGGTGTCAATCTGGGGGCGAGAGGGCGGGGCAGAGGCGCAGTATGCGGGCCCAGCCTGGCGGTGCGGGGCGGGGCAGCGGAGGCTGGCTGGCGGCCGCGGGCGCTCGGAGGCCCTGGAGGCTGCACCGGCGCACGGTCGGCCGGCCCCACGCGCGCCGCAGTCCCCCGCCCCCGCCCAGTGCGGCAGCGGCTGTTGGCCAGCTGAGGTTGACACCGCGGCCCTCCCGGCGCAGCTTCTGTCCACCTGCCAGCGGGGGAGGGGCGCGGCCAGCGCAGCGGGTCAGAGGTCGCCAGGCCGCCGGCCGTCATCATTCAAAAGGCCTGGCTGGGCAGTAGAGCCAAGGCTAAGTGGCCAGGCCTGTTTGGGGTGCAGGCTGGGGGCCCTCCTGGCTGTCCCCTGGTCACAGAGCTTCAGGATGTTAAGTCCTGGAAGCAAGAGGTGGTGGGAGGGGGGCGTTCAGTGTCTACCCCTTTGCTGGGCCCCAACCCAGGAGTCTGCCATTTGTAAGAGTTGACACTCGTTTAACGTTATTTCGCACACTTCATCACGTATGTACTATCACCATCACACCCATTTTGCAGATGAGGAATCTGCCAGCCCCGGTCTTAATCCCCATCTGTACTCCCTATCTGGACAATGGGAAGGAAACCTGCCCTCTAGGAGCAGAGTAGGGGCAAGATGCCTCTTCCTTCAGGGTACCAATACATACATAGCCTGGGGACAGCCAAAGTTTTCCAACTGCCACACTACTGATGTTTGAGGCTGGATCATTCTTTGCTGGGAGAGCTGTTTTGTGTAACCTAGGATATTCAGTAGCACTCCAGCATCCACCCACTGGATGCCAGTAACACCTCTGTCTTTTTGCTACCTGTGGCATCCAAAACCACTTCCAGATATTGTTTTTTTTTTTTTGAGACAGAGCCTCAAGCTGTCCCCCTGGGTAGAGTGCCGTGGCATTACAGCTCACAGCAACCTCCAACTCCTGGGCTC